TGCCCGCCGCAACGGAGAGGGGGAAGAAAAGCCAGCGGTGAGACGTACCAGGCAGCGGTGCAGCGATGCCTTCATGCTCTCGGCGTCCCGTGAGGCTGGGACCCAGCTGTCGGTGATGTCCGCCACTTTGTAGAGCCAACCAATTAGCTCTTCCAGCTGGCGGCAAAACATCTACTTAACGAAGCGCAACAAAAGGGGTTACTGATCGACTGCTGTGACAAAGACACGGCAGGGACAGCGATAGGTGTTGGGTGAGCACCTGCTCCCTGCTCCTCTCCTGCCCACCCCACGCACACAAACGTCCCTGAACTTGGGAAACCAACGGTCAACAGAAAGAAAAAAAAAGGCAAACCCCAACTTTAACACCTAAGCACAGCCCAAACGCACTGTGTGGCAAGAACTGAGGGTCACCATGAACTGGAGAGGTGTCGGAAGGCAGCAGCACCCCGGATGAAGGCGGGCATTTGCCTCCCAGCAGGAGACACACCCTCCTCTTCACTGGAGCCTCGCAGTAAATTTGCAGTCGCTTTTCCCTGAGTGTTTGTCTCATTCAATTAAGTGCTTTCATTTATTTTTAAAGCGTCTCGGTACTCGATTGTTTTTGCAAGATGCTGCACGAAACCCAGGGAGCTCTGCTCTCACCAAAACCAGACTCCAGCTCTGCTGCTGCTCCTTGGTTTTGCTATAAAGCCGAGGTGCCTCTCTGTGGGACCACGATTTGATACATCCTAGTGCTGACCCTTTTACACCGGCATTTATACCCATACAAGGCAGGGAAGGAGCTGCACTGGTGTTTGTAGCCATGTGCACAGTTATAATTACTCTCTTGCAAACAGCCCAGCATCACCTCCAAATTCAGGCTGCATCTTTATCGCATCTTTCTGGTGCCGCGGCACTGCAGGATAGACGGGCTGCAGGAAGCCAAGTGCCAAATCTTCACTGAGCTCAACCTCACAGTGCTGAGCCCCTGCAAAAAGAGAGCTGGGCTCCTGCTCCATCAGATGAAATTACCTGCTCTGGCCAGCCCCCCATCTAAATACAATGCAGCAGGGGAAGCCTGAATTAATTGTGCCATAAATACAGGCACATTTTATGGGAGATCTTCCCATTATAAGCTTTATTTCTGACCTCAGCCTACCTCAATGCATTGGGCAAGGGACTCTCTCTGCTGGCTCTTCTTTGGATGCCCCTTGTCCCGCGGTTCATTTAGGTACATCCCATCCAACGTGTCCCTGAGACTGCTCTGTAGACGAAGCCCTCGCAGAGGATCCTTATGGATCCGGCCACGCGATTCAGCATTTTCCCAGCTGGACTTTCGAGAGCTGCAGGGGTGCCACAGCCCAGCGTAATCCTCAGGGTTTCTTCTTTTGTCCCGGCCATCCTCTTCTCCGAAAGGAGTCACCTCAGACGGACGGGACTGCCTGCCGTCGCTGTGACGCGGAAGGTTTTGGCGGTCGTACCCGGGCGTCCTTATAGTTAAGGAAAGACTGGACAAAAACTGAGCCAGCCTTTCCAGCTCCCGCAGTCTTGGAGGCAGGGAGAGAAATTCTTCATCACCCTCCCAGTCTTTCCTCAGGGGGAGGACTCGTGTCGTAGGTAAAAACCTATCAGCGCTCTTCACGTGCCCTCTGTAGTTTGGGAAGGGGCTCCCTCTGGTCCACCAGCTTCTCCCGTCCACAGCAGGGTGGTCAGATGAGGCCGGCGTGGCTGACTCCATCATGACATCCTTAGCAAAACCTCTAGGAGGACGGGAGGAAGCACTCTTGGCCAAGGACGCTTTTGCAGTTGGTTCATAGTACGAGTCAGCTCCTGAGAGGCCTCTTTTTCCTGGTCCCGGAGTGGAGACCCTCTCTGTAGAGGCCACAAACCTCCGACGTTCATTTTCTCTGCTTCCCCGAGCCTGCCCACCTCGACTGTAGATGCTGGTGGACCTCGACGTGCCCTCGAGGGAAACAGAAAAGCTGTCCAGACCTATCCCTGAGTCGTGGAGGAAAGGCTCTGGCATCTTCGTCAGCTTGTATCTTGGCTTCAGCGGATAAGCATAATCCAGCAAGTCCTCATACTCTTTATTGGGGTTCCAGTGGGGCGAGCGACGGTCCGGAGACGGGGGTAAGGAATCCGGTATGGCACACGCCCAGTAATCGGCTTGGTAGGACGACATCCCTCTGACACGCTCTGCGGTCGTGCGGTCGTCGAGTAGAGGCCGGGAGGGTTTGCGAGCCCGCGGCGTCCTGCCTTCTGCCGCGC